GGGAAAGATATATAACTCGATTGCTTCAATCAATATAATTCAAACTTATTACAATGATAAAGAAATGCCATTAGAAATAGTGCTTCATCTTCCAATTCAAGAAGATTTTGCCATTGGAAGTCTAACTGTTTAAATAGGGGATAAAATAATAGAAGGTAAAATATTTGAAAAACAATAGGCTAGGTAAAAGTATGAAGATGCTATAACATAAGGAAAAACAGCTATTTTGGCAGAAGAAAACGAAATGAAATAGGATTAGATTAAACTTTTAGTAGGTAACCTACTACCTAAATAAAATGCTACACTAAATTTCCAGTTGTATAATATTCTTGAATTACAAGGAGGAGCTTATTGTTTCAAGATGCCTATCAATTACTTTCCAAACTTTGAAAGAGAAAATTATGACTACGACTATCATTTTCAAATTGAAATATTCTCTGATATTCCAATAAGCTACGTGAGCTATCCAACTCATGGTTAAGTAAGCAAAATGACTCATGATTAAGATCTCTTCCAAGTTAAAATATTCAAAGAAGGAAAGAATGTTTAATGTCTAGAAAAAGATTTAATAATCTACTACAGAACTTAATAAATGGAGCATATATCTTTGTATTATCAAGAGTCTAATTCTTATCCTAATCAAGTAGCTTTAATGATATCATTTGTGCCTTAATTGATTGAATAAAAAATCAGCGAAAATGAATTTATATAGTTGGAGGATGATATTCCAGATCCTCAGGACATTTAGTTTGAACCTCATAGTGACAAATTATTCATTTTTCTTGTGGATAGAAGCATATCAATGGTGGGTTAAAAGATTTAAATCACTATCCAAACATTGATTATATTCCTTAAATCTCTACCTGTAAACTCTTCTTTTGAAATAATTAGTTTTGGGCTAGATTGCGAAAGTCTTTCTCATTATAAGGGCCTATTTTATGATACAATAAACTTAAATAATGCATTAGAAATAGTTTAGAAATTTAAAGCCAATATGCATGGGAAAAATCTTATAGCTCCCTTCTATAAAGCTATCGAAGGAATTAAAACAACTAAATAAAAAAAGATTATATTGCTCACTGATGGTAAGGACAATAAGAGGGAATAGTTAATATGAACCATTGAGAATTACTCTTTTGACATTAAGATTCATACAATAGGAATTGGAGAGGATTGTGATTAAGAATATATAAAAAGCATTGCTATAGCAGGGAAAGGTTCATTTAGTATAGTTTAGAATAATAGAGATCTTAAAGCCACAGTAATTAGAGTTCTAAACAGATTAGTAAATTCAACTTATAGTGGTTGCTAGATTTAATTTTCTGAGAGACCTTTTTTTCATGCTAACTCAATGAGATATTAATTTGAAAGAGACTAATTAAAACGGGGCTTTGAAATATACAAAAATGAGTTATTTCAGCATTTTGCAATTATAGGGAAAGAATAATTTAATAAACTTTAAGTTCAGATGAAGAGTGATATTCACCCTCAGACTTAAATAGGATTAAACCACAAATGGACTAACAAAAATTTCAAATCTCTTGAAAAAGGTGAAGATTTATTTAGAATCGCTGCAAGATTTTACATTAATTTGCTTCAATCAACCGAAATCGATAAAAAAGTTACGAAAACTTATTCATTGTTTTATTAGATTATGAGTAAGGAAACATCTTTTCTAGCAGTCTATAAGAATGATTAGTAGGTATGTGGTGAGCTGTAACTTATTGAGATTGGAGAGAAAGATCAAATCTTTCTATCATCTAAAAGCAGCTAATCACCTCAAATTTCTAGAGATGAAATAATTTATGATAAAGGAGGTTAGATTTTGGAAAGGTTTTAAAGCTCTCCAAAACCTCAATTTTAAAATAAGAGAAAGTTTAGACCATAGAAATTTGAAGTTGAAAATTTTTTCCTTAAAAGATAGGATTACTCTTCAAGTGAGTCTCAGAAATCTGAACCTTTTTAAAAAGCGTATAATGATAAAAGAGGTGCCATTAAGAAAAAAGCAAAAAAGAAAGTCTAGAATTATAGAAGTGATTTGAATCAAATATCTAAGAATAAATCATAATTTAACAGATAAAATCGCCTAAAATCGCCAATCTTAAAACAGAGTATAATTAGAGTTTTATAAAAAGAGGAAATAGAATTTGAATAATAAAGAATTTCATAATAAGATTAAGAAAAAGTAGAATTATAGAGTTTATCGAGAGTTTAAAATAATGTAAGAAGAGATATAAGATAAAACAATTATAAATCTGAATTAGTTGTATCACATTTAGGGGATACTGAGGAAGATATAAAGTTTGAATCTGATAAAGAAGAGGAGAAAAAAGAATAAATATTGCCTTATTATCCTAGGGGAAATAATCATTTCTTGTATCTTCGCGGTAGCGGTAGTAATGTTAATGACCAAAGGAAAAATAATGCTATATCAAATTTGAAAAAGTAACTTAATAGTGGTGAATTTAATTAGCCAAGATTAATGATGATAAACTAAGAAGAAAAATAAAGTAAAAAAATATCAGTGTAAATGCTATAATTTACAGATTAGAAAACAAACCTAGCTATAAAGTAAAAGCTTCCTATTATTTAGTCTCATGCTTAGAAACAAAAATCTTTTATGGATTACTATTATCTATTTGTAAAATCAGTAGATCATTTATAGAAACAAAAACTAGCTAATAGTTAATATAACCTTGATGATTTGATAAAAAGCTTTGATATTCATGGCTATTGTAAAAACATAGAAATAGTTTAATCATTTATTAATGAATTGATTTATATGGATTTAGATTTAATTAGAGAAATCTACAATAAGATTACAAAGAAAGATATTCTGGAATAAGTTTGGATAACCATTCTAGCTATTTATATTCTCTAAAAATTTGGTTAGAGAAAGAAAAAGGAGTGGGAAAGTAAAGTAACTAAAGCAAAAGGGATGCTTATGTATTAAGGAATAGGAAACCTAGATAATATTATTAAGAAGATTAAATGCGAAATAGTTTAAAGTAAATTACCTACTATTTATTGAATATTTATTAAGTTTTTCAGATATTTAATTTACAAAAAAAAATTTCTTTGATGGGGTTTTGGGGTTTTGGGG